AAGTGATGGACATCGAAGGCACCCTTCCTTAAGGGTGTTTTTGTAACACCCTACAGTGTTTTACATGTACACCCTATTCTAAGGGTGCATGGTAAAGCACCCTTTTTGGAAGGTGCTGAATTAACACCCTTAGGGTGTCGTCCACGGGACAAGCTCATTTACACCCTTCTGGGTGTAAAAAATTTTACTGTGTAGGGCATGAGAATTTTGGGGTCGCATAAGCTGGAAAAACTCCCATCTCGACAAACGTTTGCGTATAGCGAGTGCATTTTGTATATCGAAGAAGAGAGATTCAGATTTAGTGCCGAATTCGCGCGCTACCGGATTTGATTTCATTTCTCTTGAATAATATGCTAGATTCTTTGCTGTCAGAATTTATGTTAGGTCCCGCTGTGGTGGTCTAGAGGCTCAAGTACTCGGCTGCTGACCTGCAGGTCACGGGTCAAATCCTGGCTGTAGCGGCTGCGTACTCGATGAAGGCGAAAATGCGGTATAGGCCCGTGTGCTCAGATTTGGGTGCACGAAAGAACGCCAGGTAGTCGAAACTTCCGGAGGCCTCCACTACGATGTCTCTCGTAATAACGTGATACTTTTGTAACTTTAAATCACACATGTCAACTAGAATTTCTGTTAGAATAAAACTGATGTTATTGCCATTACAAACAAAGTTATTTTTGTTCTCTTTCTTCCTCTAGTACTGAGCCATCCTGATAGTGGTTACCAAAACAGGAATTACTTATAAATGTCTTGACATTGGGATGCCTCGCCACCACACAAATATTGTGCTTTCCTTGAAGTCGTCTTAAACTTTTACTATTCGCCACCTGCTTGCAAAATTACATGAAGGAGCAAGAGTTAATTGTCAGGTTCGGCATTGTTGACAGCGAAAATATATGCCATCCCAGTAATCGAGAAGCAAGACTTAATCAAAGAGTAGCGGCGTTGATAGGAGCGAACCTTCATATTGTCCCAGTAGGCTGGAGAAGCGACTAATGATATTTTCGTGATCTATATATTTATAGGTTGACAAGTATTCAGCTATTTATTATTATCAAAATGTTTATGAGGCATGTAGGCATCTTCAAACACACCTCAATGCGCTAATCGCATTAGCGCGCTAATTGCTTGAATTTTTTTGTGAAGAAAGAAATCCCACTGTGTCTGGAAAATAACACACGACGACGCCAACTACCCTACCACCCACAAAAGAAAACATTGCATTTATATAGGAATACTTCGAACGAGGCCCGTAGACAGGACTTTTTTCCGGGAGGGGGGGGGGGGGAGGAGCACTAGCTGAAGACCTCGACTATTTAGAGACGCATTTTTTTAGAAGCGAAGCTTCTTTAGGCGCGTTTACACTAGAGAGACACGTAGCCGATTTTGGTCTGCGGGCTGTTTTTTAGGAGTTTCTTTTCTTTTGTCGCTGACCTATGTACACTGCAAATACATAAACAGTCCCCGGGTGGTCTCTCGAGGACCCCGCTCGTGCCCTGTCTTGCTCACAGTATTTCGTTGGCCGATTCTGCAGTCCGATTGGAGGCACATACAGTGAAACCGACTAGACTCGCGTACCTGCACATCATTTTCAGCCATGCTCCTCACTCTGCCATTGCCCCTTTCCGGCTAACCAGCGCAGCCCCCGCCATGATTCATGGTAACGAGGGATGGGGTTGGGGCACACAATAGGGAAGCGAAGAAAAGACCTCCATTGGGTGCTCGAGCGGCCTATTCAGACGCCGTGGAATCCTCGGAGATGACATTGTTAACTCCCCCATGATAGCCCACTTCGTGGTCGTTTGAAGCAAAGACATGGGGAAAATTTTCACTCAGCCACCGATCTGCCGAAGACACGCCGACAATCAGTCTGCCGATGCGTTTTGCTGGTGTTTACGGTCTTTCATTATGTTACACTACGATGAAATGCTGTCTTTTGAAATGTCGTCATGTTCGTCAGCCTCGTGTCACCATGGGGTCTTGCGCAATCGTCGGCGGGTGACTCGTTGGCCGATGGTTTGCATCTGCCTCGTGTTTTCGACGGGCTCGTGTCAGTGTCGTGTTGCTCTAAATAGTGTAAACGCGCCTTTACGGTTTAGGACAATCTCACGTCCTTCCGGCTGCGAAGTAAGCCCAGTATATAGACAGACAGACAGACAGACAGACAGACAGACAGACAGACAGACAGACAGACAGACAGACAGACAGACAGACAGACAGACAGACAGACAGACAGACAGACAGACAGACAGACAGACAGACGAATGGACGGCCCCTTCGCCCGACTCATCATCATGCACTCCATAAATATGCTGTGATTTTTTCATCGCATTTTTTCGGGCAGAACACCCTACTCCAACACAACTTCAGGGAGGGGGGCACTACCCTCTCTCCTGGCTACGGTCGTGCGTCAAGCAGTCGCTTGGCCTGGTGTCAGCTGCCAGAGCCAGCATTACGCTCTTAGCAACGGTGAAGGACGATTGCCAACAACTTACCTCTGAGTATCTCAGGGGTTCTTTTGACTCAATTGCACGCCGCTATCATTCATGTCTCAAGATCAAGTGTCCGCACTGATAAAGCGGTCGTGGTGCTCGTCTGTTTACAGCCCTATTCTGTAAGACCATCACCTCCTCTCTAAAAATGCCTGAGACTTGAGCCGAAAAGCTGGTTCCCGGCCCTCTCCGGTTTTCTCCTCCTCCGCTGCTCAAAAAGTGTCGGCGTTAAGCACTTGCTGTGGCGGCCGCTAAACATTGCCGCCTCTGAGATTAAAGCAGTGTCTACTGCCGTCTCGGAGGCATCACGACGTGTTTTTCTGATGGTGTCACTTCTGAGTCGAGCAGAAGTATGAATGGATGGATGGATGGATGGATGGATGTATCCCGCTGTGCCCTTTAGATCGGGCGGTGGCTTCCGCCACCTAGCCATAAAGTTAAGTACTATCATTGTGTGTTTAAGGATAGAATTTCACTCGCGCCCCAATTGTAGCCACCAGTCAGTTAGCCTCCTCCTGGTTGTTTATACCCGTTTAAAGTCTATTTCGCCTTCACTGTCCCTAAACCCCAATGCTTTGAAAATTTCGGCGCCATTATCTTCGACTATTGGGTGAAGCCCTTTACAGAACATTATCAAATGTTCAGCCGTTTCCTCCTTCTCTCCACGTTCACTACCTACCGTAACTGTGCCTTTGTATTTTGTTCGGTACGTCTTGGTCCGCAATACTCCCGTTCTAGCCTCGACGAGCAGAGAACTACCCCGAGAATTATCGTGGACCTTTTTCCTTGCAATTTCTTGCTTAAATGTTCGGTAGAGCTCCAGAAATGGTTTCGTAAGCATTCCTACTTTCCACGTGTCCCTCTCTGTTTCATTCTCCTTCTTCTTAACCGATGTTTCCTTTTGGCTTGGTATTCTGCTGTTGTCTAAATACTTGCTTGAATTTTTTAGTTTGTTTTCTTCATTTAGTATTGCCATTATTCCTGTAGAAGTAATTGAAAGCTTTTTTAGCCCAACGTTGCTCTCCCATTTTTCTCAATCGCTTCTCCAATTCTATCTTGCTCCTAGCTTCCCTGCACTCAAACGATGTCCATCCCATGTCTCCCTGTACCCTCGATATGAGGCATTCCCGTGTGCTCCCTAAGCAAGTCTACCTATGCCACGTTGTTTAATTTCCAATCATACTTGAACTTCTGATTTCATGCACAAGAGTGCGTTGCCGAACGTCAAACCCGGAACCATGACACCTTTCCAAATCCCTCTCACAACGTCATATAAACGTCATAGTAGTGTCGGCTACGAGCGCTCCTTGTGGAGAAAGCACTGAACCACAAGAAACCTCCCATCCCCATCGGAAAGCGTGCGATGTCGCAGGCGTCTATTTGCAGGAGCCGTTGGTAAGACTAAAAAAGACAAAACTAATCGGCCGAGGGGGAGGGGATGTCAGACACGGCGATCCACGTTTTTTTTTTTTTGTGACTTCATAGTGCATACGTTTGGGAACACTGCATCCTTGTGCGCACTGCAGGTATGCTAAGCGACACTTTTCACGGAGCTTTTCTATCAGCTGGAAAAAAAAGTTGAGCACGTAATGAATATGCTGTGGAAAATAGCACAGTTAGGCGTGAAGTAAAAGATGCATACTAAGGCCTTTTTGACCTTTTGTTAATTAGTTGATTACTAGTCGAGTTGCAGATGTGATCGTGGGTATTTATATAAACGTCGCTAAGAAAAAAAATCCTGGTCACTAGTTCAGTCTAAGAAAGAGAAAACAGACAACCATCCGTTCGCAGCAAGAAGCGACAAGACATTCCGTACGCATATCTCACAAGGAAAGCTTCTTAATTGCCAAAAAATTCACGCTGGTTCGGGGTTTGAACCCGAGACCTACGCCTTTCAGGGGCGGTCACTCTAGCAATTGAGCTAAGCAGGAAGCTAGCTATTTGCAGCATGAGGGCGAATTCAGCGACAACTCGAAGCACAATGAGACAAGTAATGCAAACGAGTTCTGCGAAAACCCGCAAGGGGACGGAAGGGCATCATTTGTGTCGGGCTTCGAGTCGCTAGTGAATTTGCCCTCGTGCTGCCAATTGCTGGCTTCCTGGTTAGCTCAATAGCAAGAGAAACCGCCCCGGAAGACGTGGTCCCCGTGTTCGAACAACGGGAAAGAACGAAGCAACCAAGAATGTTTCTTTTTCAGAAATTCACTGGGGTTTCCTTGTGGCTTCATGCTACAAGCGAATGGTTCTCTAGTTTTTCTTTGTTAATCCTTCCACCCACTTGCGTGTTCCCGCGGAACTCATTTTCATTGGTTCCTTGTAGAAGCTACTACGTTTGCCTTCAGTAGCCCCATTTGACATTTTAAATACTTGCAGCGTAATGATTATAACGTCTTGCATGAAAGTTTGCTAAGCAACAAATGCAAGGTTGAAAAGCAACATCACACTTCTTAACATGGAAAACCTGCATACAGCGAAACAATTACGCGCGCACATAAGCACCTTATCGCTTACCGTAAACACGGAGACGATCGTCCGACTTGCAGCAGCAGCCCGCACGACCAAAACCGGCACTGACAATGACATCCTAACGCACAACAGCTTTGCGTGTTTGCTTATCGCTGCTCAATATCGGTCACCTGTTACCGGACGCCTGGCTTCAGTTATGCACTGAAGAACGAATGCTCAGCTCTACATCCGTTGTTATACGTCTCTGAATATGCGGGCTTCTGCTCTTTTAATATCTGTGGTCAGCCCATTCTCTTACCAGTGAGGAAGCCACTTATCTGAGTATGGCGTAATACAGCAGCGGGAACATACACCCATATGCAGGGTGTCCCACATAATTTGAGCCAAGAATTTGAAAATGAAAGACACTTCAGTGGCGAATTGAACCAAACCCGTACTACTCGCACTAGCCTGTAGGTACAAAGGCTATTTTTTATTTCTTCCTATACTAATAATTAGTAACTTTTAATTACCTTTTTTTTAAATTATGGGCTGGAAACCCCAAATATGAACACTGAGATGTAGAGCACTTTCAGAAACCACGGACTAAATTGCTTCCTGCACGATACCTCTCACCCTTTTATTTTTTTTCAGCGTTGTAAAGAAAGCCTATAGCAGCACTACAGTTGTGTTCTCGTGGTCCATCACACGGTTTCTTTTCACGTTTCCCGGGCTTTCTTTACAACGTGAAAAAAAATAACAGCGCGAGACGTATCATACAGGAAACAATTTAGTCGGTGGTTTGGATTGATATGTGGGGTTTAACGTCCCAAAACCACTATATGATTATGAGAGACGCCGTAGTGGAGGGCTCCGGAAATTTAGACCACCTGGGGTTCTTTACCGTGCACCCAAATCTGAGTACACGGGCCTACAACATTTCCGCCTCCATCGGAAATGCAGCCGCCGCAGCCGGGATTTGAACCCGTGACCTGCGGGTCAGCAGCCGAGTACCTTAGCCACTAGACCACCGCGGCGGGGCAGTCGGTGGTTTCTGAAAGTACTCTACATCTCAGTGTTTATATTTTGAGTTTCCAGCCCATAATTAAAAAATGGTAATTAAAAATTATTATTTAATTAGTACGGGGAGAAATAAAAAAATAGCCTGCGTACCTACAGGCTAGTGCGAGTAGTATACATTTGGCTCAACTACCCTCCTAAGTGCCTTTCACTTTCAAATTCTTGACTCAAGTTGCGTGAGACATCTTGTGCAAGAGAAGGTTATTCGAGTCTGGAACAGTGGTAACACCTCCCTCATGGAGGCCCTTTTAAGGGCTGAAATAGCGGCATATCTACAAAGGTGTTATCAGGTGTTGAGCCCGTTGCCGAGTCGGGAATAGATATTACCTGAAAATGAGGACGATGTAAAAAAAGCACACATTGAACCCATGAAGGCCGGTTCGATATTTCATAATGCAGGTGTCTATTCAACCACATTGTAAGTACTATTATACTCATCCGCTAAAAGGGAAGTGCCAAAGAAAGGCTTTCTTGAAATGCGATGAGTGTGACAGCAGAGTGGGGCAGACCCCTTCTTGCTTTGAAACATGCTTGATCAATGCGTGCTTTTTATGACATAAGAGAGTAGTGAAAATTCTCGGACAGATCACAATGATTTCCAAATTTAGTGGTTTCTAAGGGCCTTGAACACGTCTGGTGGATGTCGCGAATACAACGGTACAGTCTGGCGCGATTTGAGAGTTATCGCGGAAGCTGCGACTCGCCTAGCGCCATCAAATAATATTTTACCAAGTCTTACCCCATTTGTAAGACTCCGCAGTGAATAGGAAAGACACAAGCACAAGAAGGCTCAGTGTGAACTGAAGTACTGTGCTAAAAAAAATGTTCAGAACTTTGCCATGTAGTCAGAGATAGAGCTGACCGATAACTATAACGGTGTATAGCGAAGACTCGCTGGTACTTAAGGCCACCATCAACGCTGAAAGGCCAGTGAATACAGGAGCACAACAAAGAGGCAAATGATCTATTGGTGCATAAAATATCCGAATATCTCACCGGTACGTTTCTCATTTAGCAAGGTTTCCTTGACTACGAAGATTACAGAGCCATACCTCGTAATCTATTAGCTTGTCCTTAAAATTGGTGTCGTAATTACGTCGTTGCATTGTAATGGCAATTGCTGGCACAGTTTGTAGTAGTAGTAATTTTCCCGTAAAAGTACTGAATGATTTCCCTAACTTCCAATCATCAATAGAGTTTGCGATGAAAACTTTACTGGCAATCTCTTTATCGAAACGCCCATTCAAGAACGGAGCTTTGTGATCACGTATGATGCGTGATGTATCCGCCTTATCGCCCTGAATTACTAACGATGCCTGCTGCGACTAGTAGTAGAAAAATTAAAGAGCTATGCCACCCGACTGTCTTATTCCCACTGCTAAGCAGGGACTCGGTTATAATGAACTAGCGTCCTAGACCCGTTCTTCACTGAAAGAAGTCTTCGAAGAAGCATGCTTCGTAAAGCAATGTCTCCGTTTAGTCACGGGGCATGCCACCAGGACCGTAAGAAGTACCGCTACGACAAGGTTGAGTCCAGCAAGCATGTAGTAGAGCGTGTCATAAGAGCCATGCTTGTCTCTGAAGTAACCTGGAATGAAAACAAAGTAACACCACTTGTGAAAGAACATGGTTCTCCTCCATTTCGAAGGGAAAAGCGAGCAGCAACGAGTACACTGCACCTCGCGGTAAACACAAACTCAATTAGAGGGAGAGAAAGAATAGTGCTCCAAGCAAGAATTCACGAGTCAAACCACATGCAATGTATGCCCCTAAGCAGAAATTCCTTGGAGAAACCACTTGCAATGTACGTTGATATTAAAGCAATGTACGTTGATAGAGACGTTGATAGTAACTTCTAATTACTGAGGTGACATGAAATAGTAACATTTGATGTGAACTAAAAACACTGAGATGAAGAGAAGGGGGTCATTAGAAGAGGTATCTACAAACCAATAAAGAACCAAAGAGCTGGGGCTCCTATCGACTAAGCAGGGTGCCAGGTAAGCACTAAGGGCGCTCAGCGGCATTGCCGTTACCGCCATGGAACCTGCGGATTGTCGTACCAGTGTCGGCTTCCTACACGGCATCGATGGAGAGCCTACGGACTCGGAGCTGCATTGGGGCGTTATGTCGAGCGTCCCGTTGCTTGAGGCGAGCCTACAGGGCTGAAAGGCGAGGCTCCGGTTTGCCACTAGCGTTTCACCGGAGCTCGTCTTCCTCTACGGCCTACTTCGAGTGTGGCACGCAAGACCACGTTCACTTCAAACTTGGCAGTGCGGCCGCTTAGGGGACATCGCAAGGCAATAGATGCGGCCAGCACCGGCAACTGCAGTAGATGCGGCCAGCACCAGCAACTACAATAGATGTGGCCAGCACCAACAGTCTGCTGACAGCTGCCGTCCTCGCTGCATCAAATGTGGAGAGAGAAATGCTGCTGACAACCCGACGTGCCCTCGCTGGCAGGAGGAGAGTAGAGTAATCACGCTAATGGCTGTGCCACCGAAGCCGCTCTGGGGACGGATCGTCAACGCTTCAGTGCACGAGAAGTCCCGCTAGATGCGCTCCTGTGCTGCTGCAGTTAAGACCAACCCATCTGAGAACACCATGGATCGCAGCCTGCAGCTCCGTCTCCTGCGCCGTTCCGAGATCTCTTGTTATCAGCTCTACAAAAGAAGATTCAATGTCGAATCAATGCACTACAGACGCTACGATGGTAGTCACCATGCGAGTCGCTCGATCCTCTCAAACCTCTTTCGCAAATATGGAGAATAATCCGCGGCCTAGAAACATTGCCACAACAGCATCGTCCGTTCAAATGCCTTGCTCTCCACCAAGGCCGGCGTGAAATAGATGTAGCGGAAGACTTCTGTGCCAGGGTTGCAAACAAGGGGTCCGAGATCAACATGAGTAACCTACGAAACGCGCCGGTGTCCAGAGACACTCGAATGGACAATATGTTTTCTCTAGAGGAGCTTCAGGCAGCATTGGCAGCATGCAAGCGCTCGTCATCGCCTGGACCTGATGGAGTCACTTACATGGCCCTTGCTAACCTAGGACGAACAGCTCGGCGTGCCCTTCTAGCTGTATACAATGACTCGTGGAGCAAAGGTTTGGTTCCTCCTTCGTGGAAGTGCAGCCACCTTGTGCCCCTGCTCAAACCAGGCAAATCGCCTCTGAACATGGCCTCCTATCGCCCCATCGCGCTTGCCAGCTGTTTCGGAAAGGTGATGGAGAGAATGGTGCTGACTCGCCGGGAGTGGTACTTGGAACATAACAATATATAACCCGATGCTTTGACCAGCTTTCGGCGTGGACGGTCTTCTATAGACAATGTTGTTGATCTTGTCACGTCTGTACAATAGCAGAAAAGCCTAAAGAGATTATCAGCGGCACTTTTCTTGGATATTAAGGCTGCATACGACAATGTACTACATGAAACCATCCTGCACGCCTTGGGCAGCATTGGATTGGGAGGCCGCGTTTACCAATGAATCTACATCTATTTGAAGGACAGAACCTTCTTCGTTCAGGCGGAAGATGGCGCAACAAGGCAACATCATACTTATCGCGGCGTACCTCAAGGTGGGGTCCTAAGCCCCATACTTTTCAACCTTGCGCTCATTGGCCTCGTTGACGTCCTGCCACACCCCGTACATCTGTCGATATACGCGGACGACATCTGCATCTGGGCATCAGGGGTCACGCGTCTACACGTACGAGCCAGGCTTCAGACAGCGGCTACACTGACGTCAAACTACCTTCAATGACGAGGACTGGAGCTGTCATCTGAGCAATGCTCATTGGTTGCGTTTACGCGCAAGACAATGACGCCATACCGCATCAGAATTATTGAACACACACTAAGCTATCAAAAGACTCACAGTTTCCTGGGAGTAATAATAGATCGTGATTTGTCTTGGAGCCCTCATATCGCTTACATGAAGAAGAAACTGGCCATGATCACCCACGTCCTAAGGTTTGTTGCGGGAAAATCATGGGGTGCATCGGTTCGAGCCATGCTTCAACTGTATGCTGCACTTTTTCTTGGCTTCATGCGCTACAGCCTACCTGTGCTTGGCAAGCCCCGCATAACAAACGTACACGTCCTCCAGTCATTACAAGCTCAAGCACTGAGAATATGCTTTGGGCTGCCGAGATGCGCATCCTCAGCAGCGACTGTCGCAATCGCTTATGAACACCCTATCACAACCTACACTCGTGTCGATGCTTTAAGAACGCACATAAGACGTGCCAGTCAGATTCAATTGCATCACCTCGCCTCCCTTCCAACTTCCAGGCCACGCTCTGCGTTCTGCTCTATTATTGCCCCACATAGCACGGTGATTGCCACAAACTTCACGTACGCAGCAAGACCGTCGTTACCATTGTGGTGTCTACATCTACTGGAAGCCCTGATAACCATCCCCAGAATGCAAAAGAAGAAAAATTTGTCAAATTTGGCTTTAACACAAACAACATTACTGTTTCTGCATGAGAAACACGGTGGACGCACTCACATTTACACGGATGGGTCGGTTACTTCAACAAGTTCAGCAGGCGCAGTGGTAATTCCGGAAAAATCTATCACGATAAAGTTCAGGACCTCGCATCTGACATCATCCACGGTGGCAGAACTTGCCGCCATTCGTGCCGCTCTGGAGTTCCTAGTTGAAGAACCGCAACAGACATGGTCAATATTCTCCGACTCCAAAGCAGCTCTCCAGGGCATTGCCTCGCCATATCGTCATGGACCAAACGAACAGCTAAATACTGAAACACGACTGCTTCATCACCGGGCTATAGAGAAACAACATGACATAGCGTATCAATGGATAACAGGCCGCTGCAGCATTGATAGAAACGACCGTGCAGATGAAGCAGCCCGAACTGCTCATGATGATGCTCCTTGTGTAGCTATACCATTATCAAGAACGGACGCCGCTGCAAGGCTTCGATCACTTGCACGAGAACTGACACTCGCTCAGTGAAATTCACCGGCATTCACCAACGTCCGCCTTCATAATTTGGACCCACACATACAGCTGCGTCTTCTATCAGGAATAACCAGAGCAGAAGAGACGCTTTTGTGCCGTCTGTGGATTGGGGTGGCCTTTACGAATGCTTATTCGTTTCGAATCGGGATGGCCAGAAGCCCGACATGTGACAACTGTAACTGCGCAGAGACTTTCTCCCATCTTCTCTGCGAGTGTCCCCGCTTGAGCGTGCCAAGAAAAGAACTGTCGAAAGCTTTAGATAGAATAGACAATCGCCAATTGTCGGAAGAAAGGGTATTAGGACACTGGCCGAGACCGTCCTCTGCACGCAAGGCATTGAGAGCGTTGTTGCACTTTCTGCGGGCAAGTGGTCTTAGAGACAGACTGTAAACAGCGTCGTAGATCGTCTGATGACCTTCTCTCTCCTTTTTTAATAACGTCTCTTTTCTCTCAACCTTTATCCCCCCTTACCCCTTTCCCCAGTACAGGGTAGCCAGCCGGTATGAGAACTGCCTAACCTCCCTGTCCTTCCTCATTTATCCTCCTCCTCCTCCTCCTCTTGTTATCAGCGATCTTACTCAAGGAGAGCCAGCCTTCTACTACACCTGCAGCGACTGAGGCGGACCCGAGGGACGCCCTCTTCGTGAGCCTCGTGGCCGCTCTGCAGATTGTCTTCCAGTTCCCGCCAGTGGACCATCGGCTGCGAGCCATCTTCCTTCAAGCAGTCAGCTCGCAGCCCTATGTGGCAAGGCGTGACTAGCGTTATAACACCCGCGGTGAATTCACCTCCCGCCATCGAGATGACCTCCAAGGATTCTGGGCAACATGAGCAGCTCCTGCCGACCGCAATAGCCTCGGCTCTTCATATTAGGGGCGAAGCTCCTAAGGCGATGGTCTGTCCATCCCTTGTATGTATGTATGTATGTATGTATGTATGTATGTATGTATGTATGTATGTATGTATGTATGTATGTATGTATGTATGTATGTATGTATGTATGTATGTATGTATGTATGTATGTATGTATGTATGTATGTATGTATGTATGTATGTTGATTGATATATAGGGTTTAACATCCCAAAACCACCATATGATTATTAGAGACGCCGCAGTAGAGGGCTCCGGTAATTTCGACCACCTGGGGTTGTTTAACGTGCGACCAAATCTGAGCGCACGGGCCTACAACATTTCCGCCTCCATCGGAAATGCAGCCGCCACAGCCGGGATTCGATCCCGCGACCTGTGGGTTAGCAGCCGAGTACCTTAGCCTCTAGACTACCCCGGCGGGGCTGTATGTATGTATGTATGTATGTATGTATGTATGTATGTATGTATGTATGTATGTATGTATGTATGTATGTATGTATGTATGTATGTATGTATGTATGTATGTATGTATGTATGTATGTAAGTATGTATGTATGTATGTATGTATGTATGTATGTATGTATGTATGTATGTATGTATGTATGTATGTATGTACGTGACTGCCTATAGTTCCACCTTTGCCAGCTGACCACTACTTCGTCCTTGCAAACATCCCACTACGCCCCATGACCGATCCACCACTTCAACGACCATAAAGTAGTTATAATTAAGGGGGAACGGAAGCGACGTATAGTTACCACTTACGAAATGTTTAATTTATTGTATAAATATAAACAGCATTTGTATATATAACCCTTCAGCACTTCGGCCCAGTCATCATTATTCGCTCCGTGGATATGCTGCGATTTTTTTTTCCCTGACACGCCGGCTTCGTGGCTGTCACCTTTCTTTCTTTCTGTTTTGCTGATTCCACTTTTTTCTCCCCCGAAGGCACTTAGCCGTGCTCCCTCAAGGGCGGCAAAAATTAGCGCCCTATTCTTTCTTCCCCTGAACCACCACTACTACTACTTAGCACTCAGCCGGGCTTTTCGTATCATTGTTTATTAGGCAGCGTTACAGAAATGCAGATTTTTGATGTCAGTGGAGACCATGTACTGCAGATGTTGCTTTACAAGATGGATACACATCCAACCTTTACCGTGGGAGAACCAGGGAATAAAGAAAGGCCATGTCTATCACCAAGTGACTGTTCTGTTTTTCATTTTGCATGCATTGCAAAGTTGTATTGCGTAGAAATCGCGCAAGCACGCGACTAAGTAGGGAAAAAAAACGAGAAAAAAGAGGAAACGAAGAACAGGGAAAATAGCCAGTTCTCAGAGCAGCTGGCTACCCTATGCTGGGCAAGAGGGTGAGGGTAGTACTAAAACTGACAGAAAAGAGATGTTAAAAAAAGAAACAAAAGAAAAGTAGAAGTAACACACAACTAAACGCCTTTACAAGCTCCCGTTTTTGCGTTTATAGCGATAACTATATTGTGCATATTCTTGCCGTCTCACTGTGGCCGGAGGCGCTCCGCGAGCTGTGACGTTCCTAAAAACCACCACAGCTGGCAGCGCCGCTCGTCGTGCCGTCTGGCATGACGTCAGAAGACGAGCCGGTGAAACCACGTTGCGCAAACAGACGAGGAAGTGGCGTTGCACCACATATATCGAAAACGTGGCTCGGTTAGAATCATCGGAAGATATGGAAAGTGAGTCGGTGAGACTGAGGGGAGCCAAGCTTCGTCGTTGAAACAAAACTAAAAGGAGGAAGCGTGCCTAGAGGATGGAGGAAGAACGAGCCGCACGCCTGGACATGCGTAACTGTATAGAGAACCGCGCCAAAGAGTTCGATACTTCTTGCGGCGCACACCGTGGCATAACTGTGTTAAATCATAATCAATTGTTTACGCTCTAAGCCATGTGCCGACTGGGTCCTCAAGAAACTCTTGTGCATCGAACTCGTTCTACACGAGGGGGGGGGGAGGGAAGCTGGCTCGGCCACGCTGCTCTAGATGTTTACATTGACTAGCAAAGCCCTGCAAGGAGACCACACTTGCGACTATGCAAGTGAAAATAACTCAAATTTTTACTCGAATACGCAATAAAATTACGTTTCTTCAGGTACATCTTTCATGCAAAATTTATTGAATGATGAAAATTGATAATTCAACGGATATAGGTGGACAGACATTATGATAAAGGCAAACTACTTCGCAAGCGATATATCATGAGTTCTGACTTTTGTTCAGAGCGCTACGTTTTATACGCACATTGTACATCGTGCAATTTGCATGGTGTGTAAGCGACTCTCACATTTTTGTAGTAGCCTTGCAAGTTTAAGAGGCTTCAGGCCTTAGTTGCATCACTTCATTAGCACAATTTGCTTCTCCGAAAATCTCGGTGAAGTGTGCTTGTTACTCAGAAAAAAATTTATTATAATATATTGCCACAGTGACTAATATATTGCTACAGTGACTCAACAAGCTTTCTTACACTTCGTAGCCTGTGTTGAGTGAAAAACAACAAAGTATTCGCCATGACACGCCTTTCAGATTCGTTACTGATATTTTTTGCAACTAGACTGAAGTACGTCTGTCCACGGAATTAGAATTAAATGTTTTAAGGGCAACTAATACCCATCACCACTCTAGATTTCCTTATACGTCATAAGCAAGAAAAAAAACAAAACAAGCCTAACAACAATTCGTTTTTTTTTTTCATTTCAGGAACCTTCCTGCTTACTCACCTAGTATTGCTGGGCCAGAAAGGCACATCGGCATGCCGACTAGTCCTGCCACTCCACTGCACAAGCTCAGCCGCTCCACGCCCAAATGGTCGGCTACCAGTAATGGTCGCATACAAATGGTGTATCCTTGGGTCACACCTGCTACGCTAGCAAGTGCTGCAACTGCTTCGAAAGCAGAGATGCGTGTAATGATGTAGAAACAGAGGGCTGTCACATAAAGGCACGCCATGGTGATAGAAGAGCGGCTGAAAGAAGTTTTGTCTGACACAACAGGCACCAGCACACGTCCTACGGCCTTTCCTATCGCAGCGAACATAATTGCAGTTTTCGCACGTCCAAGTTCTGCTCCCTTGTCTGTCGCGTAGTCCACGATGGTGGTCATGAATAGAGAATTGCCGTACTCCGAGAAGACTTGCAGCAGCACTAAAACAAAGAAGGGGAACTGTATAACGATAGGGAACCCACGGGGGGCACCATTTGATAACGTCGGCAGTTCCTCACGTTGGACACAATGTTCCTTTTCGTTCAATAAGGGCACTGCGCTTTTAATGGCGGCAGGTTTGTCCACGTCCCCTTCCTGTGAATTTATACGCCCCGTCGGTTTGTCGTTTTTTCGGAACATGTGGCATCGGCGAGGTGTCTTGATAAGCACGACTAGTGGCAAGATGTGAAGCATCAAACCAGCCATGAGAAGAAGGCTGCCTCGCAAACCGTATTCCTTCATGAGAATAGATATCCATGGAACACCAGCTACACCCACTACTACCATGCCGACGTCCTTGATGGCGGCGGCAGTGGCCTTGTACTTATCGAAGTATAGGAGCAAGTACATGGCGACGCCTAAAAAGGTGATTCCGAGTCCGGCTCCTACGCACACACAAAAAAAAATTCTTCAGGCAGAGGCAAAAGGAAGAACAAATGTTTCCAAGATGTTCAGTAGTGCCAGCATGCTTCACTACTTCCCATGGTCAAATCACCACCGCATTATGAAAAAGCAATATTGTTTAGACGGTTCATGATGAGGCTCGATGGTTGACCCACGGGTCCCCTCACAACTAAGCCAGCGTGACAGTATATCCGCCTTCTCAGTATTACCCGAGAGCGAGAATGGAGACAAATGAGAATGCATGACCGCATGATGAAATTTCATCATATCGCACACCAGTAAAAATTGCAGCGGTGCGTTTTTCTACAATATCACCGTAAGCAAAGCCGAAAGCAGTCTGTCGACTGGCGTCCATTACTGAGGCGATTTTATCTGAACCTGCTGACCTTGCACCTCAGTTACCCAGACTTATACAAGACAGGTAAATGCAAGAAGTGTCGTTCTAGAGCTACTCTGAATAACGAACTCTGAGAATGTCGAGAGATAATGATAAACACTGAGTGTGCAACCTCTAGCAATCATCCCCACACGCGCTTTGAGGCTGGTGAACCTTGGAATTATCTAGCGCACCGAGGAAGTCATCAGGACTAAAGATGTATGTACAAATCTGCTGCCTGAGTTTCACATGGTACCATCACCTGATGCCAGTGACGCAGCTGTGCACCATAGGTCATACAAACGCTGCTATCACTGCACCAGCCACTCTATGCGCGCGCGTTGTGTATTGTCTGAAACATTGCTCCGATTTCTATCGAACAGTTTTATACTTCATATTATGTTTTATATTGATGCAAGAGAAAATCAACAATGCTGAATATTCCTTTAGGACGTAATCAAGTATAAAAGTATTGTACTCAGCTTAGATGTAACACATAATTGGGAATAATATTTTCCCGCGATTTATTTAGAACCTTCCGGGCATGCGCGGTACTCGCACGCTGCTATTCGTGGAAGCGTATTACTTTCCCTGTATTTCCAGCTCTACTTCTCTGCTTTTCCACCTCTTTCCCCCTTCTCTCTTGTAGGGTAGCAAACCGAGTGCTACCTTGTGAACCTCCCTACCATTCTTTTGATTTTTTTTCGCTCTCTCTCGCCCACGATTTCTTCACAAACGGTGCCATCCCCACCACTTCCTCCCTCTGATCTACTCTTTTGCACATTGCATGAGCCATTGCTGGTTTAGCGGCGCCATGATAGAATTGTTCACTGAGCTCTTCTAGACAGGAAAATTCATACCCTGTACCACTCCATAAGCAACAGAAAACCAGACGATGCTGGGAGCGAAGCTTGCGCCCATAAGACCTGCAGAAGTCAAGATCCCACCGGCGAGGGTTATGTGATAGATGGAGAACTTCTTTTGCACCACGCTGACAAGGAGTCCTGGAAGAGTAATAAATTACATCTGAAGTCATGTCAGAGAGACTGAAACTCAGCTCTTATTATTATGTATGATTTAGATTGTGTTCGTGATTGAATTGTGAACAAAGTGATCTTTTAGGGAAATACAAAATAATTGAGAGGAACACTGCAGAGAACAGTAGAATGTGTAATACCACAACTTCATTGCGATAGCGATTATATGGACACTCTCCGCTGGAATTTTCCGCCGGCTTCGGCGTCGCTTTCACTCACCATATGTGTACACGTATCTATACATATGAAAACGCAAGAAAGAAAGAAATCCTGAAAAAAGACTCTGGCGCGAGGATCAAACGTGGAAACCTCCGCGTCGGGAATGTCAGGCGTTAACCGCGGAGCTACCGCGGAGCACGTCCTTCAACTTTTAAACAGTAAGCTATTTATATCTACCACTTACCACTGCTGATAAGCATCTTAGAGGGGTAGGGGGATAATGGAGTTTTTAGCATTCCCAGCAAGATAGCGCAATCAGCGCGGTGGCTAGGAAGCCTACATCTCCCACGCGTACTTTGTCTCTCAGAGTAGAGAAGATAGATGCTCGCTCACGCGCCGTTATCTCCCGGTGGTGACGATCGTATGTCTTGGCTGGCATTGGGCTTTCACTAGAACGTGTCTGTTGTTACCGGGCGCACAAATGTCATTGCAATCGTTGCACAGTTTTCGTTGCACAGACATGGCGAAGTAACAACTGAGACGCTTATTTGCGTTCATATGTCCCTGTGAGTACGCTTCGTGCGTCATTTGTGCGTGGGAAACGCGGGGCACGTTTCGATCTCCTTGCCATTCAACGCCTGACCTTCCAATTCGTTGCTATCGCGTTCATTGCTTCGCATTTCCAGCAAAGCTGTGACTTTTTTGTTTATCTTTTTGTCACAAAGTAACAGCCTTTAGAAGGCCCATCGCCATGTCACGTAAATTTGTATACATCATGGATTTAGTGATGTTTGATTGAGCCTTTCGTTAATCTTGCGGAGGTAACACTCAGATCGGCTTATTACTGTAGCGCGAAACTATGTCACGTTGCTATCACCACACGCTATAGCGACTGTGAACATATTTCAGCACCTGATTGATTATGCACCCCCCGCCGTGATGCCAACCTAAGTCCACCTTGTATTCCTAATTTTACCCCTAAATTACACCAAATTGCAATTAGAATCTCTCGATTGACTTTATAGAGACGTTCTTAGGCTGATTCTCTTTAACCAGTAATAGACATAGTAGGCTCTTTTGCTCGAGTCTTCTAAATCTTATTAAAAGTAAAAAGAGACACGACGACAACTTAAGACCTCTTGTTGATTTTTTCTGCGAAGCATTTGCACATAAACTCTCGTAGATGGTGCGAGTTGCTCCAGACACAGATAAATTTGGCAAGTTTGCTTTTCCCACTCATTTATTGCGTACGTTTGATTGTTCGGGTGTAGTGAAAACTTCCATCACGCATAGTACTCTGACCGATATCGTGCAACTTCACCACAATTGGCAAGCAACTTCTTTTGAAACATATCTTAATAGGATTTCAATCCTACGAAAACCGCAAAACAACGCACAATGGTCACTTCTCGTCGTCATACCCAGCCCGGACTTGCGGTCTTGGTGGGTGATGCGCTTTTCAAGCATACGACAATGAGTAACGAACTACTGTTTGGCACCGGCATTCACTTGGCCTGATGTGCGTGCTTGCGTGCGTGCGTGCGTGTGTGTGTGTGTGTGTGTGTGTGTGTGTGTGCGTGCGTGCGTGCGTGCGTGCGTGTGTGTGTGTGTGTGTGTGTGTGTGTGTGCGCGTGTGCGCGTGTGTGTGTGTGTGTGTGTGTGTGTGAGTGTTGGGGGGGGACGAATCGTATAGTTCCAGTGACCCTGGGAATGGAGTTTGTTTCCGGTGCAAGCAGCTCTGTTTTGTTGCTTTTGTTCTTTTTTTTCAGTAGAGGCGATTTGGTTTCAGTGAAAAGAACTCAAGGGGTATCTCTTCCTCGATTGTTTTGGGGCGGAAAAGGGACGAAGTTCTGTGGAATGGCTACGCTACAGACTCACTGCAGGTTGCTTTTGCAGTACAGCTATTTTTTAGAAAAAAAAGAGACATAAGTTTGCAAACCTGAGTTACACATTTACACACACGAAGAAATTACGGTCATTATTCTTGTAAAACAGCAGCCAGTGCAACCAGTGATGTTCCGTACTACTACTATGAATTTCCGTCCAGAGAATAGAAAATTCTCTATTTTGAGGATATTTCCCTGAAAACGTTGATGAAATTCCAAACATATTTCCCTGCACAACTGTACTAATTTCCGCCTCCATGCCCGCACGCACTGTAATTACACGTGTCTCACGTACTGGCAACTTTTGAAATCATGACTAGCCTATGCACTGCCGCACAACAAAATCAATGCTTTTTTAATTTATGTATTGTTAGCAAACTGCCCATTGATGGCTTCAAGCCTAACACTAACGCGAACTAGAAGCAACTCCAAGTAAATATTTATTTTTTATTTATATATTTTATTTGTGCATTCTTGCAAAAATGCCCACGAAGGGGGCAAGAGGAGAGAGCGTCTCCTTACTAGGCCCACTCTTCGTGAGGCACCTCGGACAAGTACAGCAATACAGTTCATAAAAAATTCAAGATTTACATACAAATTATAAAAAACAATGACCACTACAACAAGCGCAAAAAATATCAGTTAAAACTTCAAACAAAACTGTTCTTTAGCGATACATGCAAAGACGTTGTCAGCACTATTAACCTATATTGAAATACATACAGTTTGTGTGTGTATGGTAAACAATGATAAAAAACAAAGATTACAACAGATGTATTTCATACATTACGAATCTTAAGTACACGCACGTTATAAGTAGGTTTGGTATATTATATTCATAATTTGCTTCTTACATTTTCTACTGTTTTTCGTCTCCCTAGCGTATTCTATTACTCCCGGAATCTTGTTGCACAGTAAAATAATTTGGTTGTCAATTGACTGTATGTCATAGTCTGTCAGACACATTGGCCCCACCAACGCAACAGTACGTAGATTGTGTGCAAGATCTCTGCTTAAGTATGTATCTCAAAAACTCTGATAGTTGTTCTTATTTTTTTATAGATTAACATGGCTAGTTGAACCTTGTAGCGCTCTGGGAATGGTATCATGTTGTGCAGACGAAAAAGGGACGTATTTGGGGGGACCGAGGTAGTTAGCAGACATAGTGCACGTTTTTGAAGAAGAATAATACTTTCACTCTTTGTTTTGTTAAGCGTAGCCCAGACTGGAATAAAATATCAGACAGAAATCTCAATGGCAACGCTTGCGTGGTGAATACGCCAGAACAGATTACAGTAGGTGAAGGCGCGCACGCAAATTATCAGTCGCCATAGGAGAATCTAACCATTCCTGAAATTCCCTGCAATATAACGAAGGTTCCTTTTTCTGTTCGGCTCAAAATGACGGGCGAAAATTCCCCGCACAGAACATCACTGAGGGCAACCATTGCCGCTGCCTTGAAAGATGCACACAGGCACGCAGAGAGTACAGATGATGACAATCGTAAAAGTGCGCCGCTGTTCCGATAGAGGGCAAGAGCAGCAGCATCCCCACATCAGCTCTCAAGATCTTCGTAGTGAAAAAGAAAAGGTTATTAATTAAGACTGCCTGATTTTACTCCAGTTTTTGAAGCGGAGCTCTTGGCGATTATTTTAGCTCTTCGAAAACTTCCATCAAATCAAAACAATGCAGTAATAATGACGGATTCTCTTTCAGTTTGTGCAGCTCTGACAGCTTCAGAGAACTCTCGAATTCTAAGCACACTCAAAACATTAGTACCGCCGCAGTTGAGACTCCTGAGATTACTATGGGTTCCGGGTCACTGTGGATTAAGATTAAATGAATTGGCTGATTCCTTAGCACGAGCCGCACTTGATGGGCCAGTTTTGTCCATACTGCCAGATGTAGAATATATCACGGCTATAAGATATCGAAAATCAGCAATCTCCACTGATACGATAGAAAAAGTAATTACATGGACAGACTATAACCACCTCATGTTTCCATGGCAACCCCACTGGAGTCCGTCCAGAAAGATCGAAGGCTTAATCACTAAATTTCGATGTCGTGTCCCCCCCCCCCCCCTAAACCTATATCTACACAGAGCTGGTCAGACAACATCACTCCTCTGCGCATTCTGCGGAGAAATGGAATCACTAGATCATTATTTTTTGTATTGTCGCCGCTACGAGATACTTAGAAAAAGGTTACTAGTTATGCCATTTCGGAAAATAGGCCTTACATTGACGGCGGAAACGGCGCTAAGCTTTGGCGCCTCAGCTTTGGGACATTGCCACAGGGATGCTTTCAATGCCGTTTGCGATTATATTCAGGCAACCAAGCGTATACCTTTGTGATCTTCAATCAAAAAAAAAATATTTATTACTCCCAAGGGCAGAGTGAAGTAAACGCAGCTAAGTGGTAAACATAACACCTCCAATCTCAAAATTGCTCAACTTGATTTTTTTTTTCGTTTGCTCTTTTTATGTTGTTTTTATTTTTACATTAGTCATATTATAATACCAATTCATTACATATAGTTAAAATGATTACAGAAAAACTGCACTACACTTTCTTGGCCAATCCCCCTGAGTGGGTATGAGCCAACCTCCCAGGGAAACAAAACAAAACAGGTCTGCTTTTCGGCTGCGCAATGTAACAATTCCAGACGCTCTGAAAAGGTGCATAGATTCAATAAAGAGGTGCCCGATCCCTGGAAAAAAAATAAAAAAAAATTGACAACACAGTGGCGTCAACTGACGTTGCCCGACTATGGCTCGTACTAATATTGTAAACTTCCGTCCCTGAAGAAGTATATCAACATTTGGTTGAAGTTTGTCGGCAGTATCTTCCCAGTGGCTTCTCCGCGCTCAGAAGGCCCGCAAAATGATTGTGACGAACGCAGCTACCTATATACCAATAATATTTAGCCACTAGTATTGCAGTTATTGCTTATCTTCTTTTCGTACTGCAGTTTACTACAAATGTAGCAGGAGAATATCTGTTTTCAGTGGATAGCCATTTCTGTCATGTAGACGAAACTCCAATCACACTCAAGACGAAAGATGCTCCGCTACTAACAGTGCGAAAGATACGAGACGAGAGGCGCAAAAAGGAGTTACATGAGCAAGCGGTGCATGCACACACAAAAGATCGCAGTGCATCCAGGAAGGCGTAGTTTAAGACAGCTTTCTCACCAACGCATCCACCTGAGATGAGGAGTAAGGTCTGAGGCCAGGCGACTTGCTCGCGACTAAGCCCATGCCTTTGCATGAAGAGCACGTAGAGGAAGCCATAGTTAGCTGAGGCTATGCACGATAGAAAGACGATGCAGGCAGCGGCCACAGGCACACCCCAGCACCTGTCCAAGTCCACGATGGGCCGCTGTATATCCGCGGAACTCCGCATACGTAAGCTGAGCTTGTGATGTTATATGGATTCAGCTGGAAGAAATAGGAAATACACCAATATTAGTCGGTGACATCACCCAGACAATGATGATACAACGCATTGAACCGCAACGCACGTAAGGCAAGCTACCTTTAGTTAACAAAAATAGTACGAGTTGTTATTGATTGAAAATAACATCGATATTATAATAGAAACAGCCGCAGTATGCTTGAAAGAATTCACCTTTTTATGTTGGTGCATTTTAATCGGAAAAAAGATTTTTGCATACGCTGTGGAATTGCATAAGAGTTTGTCATCAGTTGTAAGAAGATTAACGTTATACCATTCCATGTAGAGGTAGCAGAACTGTTACAGATCTAGAGTAGCGCCTCACTGACATTTTTTTTGGTGACCTACAAAGGAGGACTCCTAAAAAAACCCAAACTAATCTCTTGTTGCTGCTGTAACATAAATTATGTAAGCGCTAAAGGCACGTACGTGAGACGAGAGAAGGGCACAGAACAAGCGTTTGTCTTGTGTTCTTCTCTCGTATTAGGTACGTGCCTTAACCGCTTACATAAGCTCTGGATCAGTACCAACTAGCCAAAACCCAGTGCCTTCTATATTGTAGCTGTTTCAATATAAATGTGTGTGCCATTCTTTTTCGCGAAGGTTCGTGTTTGATGAATCGAAATACTATTTTCGTAGTTTTTGGAGAACACTTATATATATATATATATATATATATATATATATATATATATATATATATATATATATATATATATATATATATATTATTTGTTTGTTTATTTACAAATACTACAACTGGAACACCATAGAATTTTAGAAAATTGGGGATACAAATTTGTATGACTGGTAGGTCAAACACAAACAATAAAAAAAGTTGCGTGTAAGCGCTGAAAAATTATTTATTTATTTTTTTATTTATTTATTTGCATACACAGATACACAAGGACAGAGAGGAAAGGGGGAGAGAGCAAGCTGGCAACTTCCACCTGGAGGGGCACAACGCCTGCCCACTCTTTCGGGAGGAGGAAAGAAAGAGAACAAACAAAGATTAGAGGAGAGAAAGAAAAGATGAAGAAGGGAAAAAATTATGAAGACTTTGACGAGTATGAGTAAAAAAAAACATAAATAAAAATAATAAAAGGGGAAAAAAGAGACCGTCTATAAACGAATGGCCAGGTCCGTTTGGTTCATAAATGTAAGGAGAGCTTGGTGGGCCTGGTCGCGTCGGGAAGCACTACCACTCGGAAAGAGGTCGTCGTCTAGGGTCGCGCACTTGAGTCCCAGGAAAAAAACAATACTTATAAGAATCGAAATACGCTTCAAGTACAACTGAAACAATGAAGGTGGAACTGTTCCCAAAACGAAAAGAAAGATAAATTATCTCCACAATATAGGACATAAACTCACGGATGGCTGCGACACCACATCTTAGGGGAGTTGGAACGATTTGTGCATTTCTAATGATTTTAGGCTTCTGTTCGCCGATTGAAACATATGTGACGGATGGTTAAAAATATAAAAAAGCCCGTGATATCTGGCTCCTCTGCCTTGTAGGGATGAATAGCATTGTAGACGAAGGCAAATGAACCTAAATAAACAGGCAACATTCTACCTTTCTAAACTTTTTAAACTTTCTAAGGCTTAAACTTTCTAAGACGCTCAGTGAGAAGATATGCCGTCTCAACTATTGCACAGCAGAGTTGTTAAATGAGAGCAACGCTGTTATGCGAACCTGCTAGATATTTTTCAAAGTAGGCTGCAGTAGTTACTACTGGTTTTATTACGACATTCAATTAATGAGACATCATCATGATTTAATTACGAAGCATTTCTTGGCGAACTTCGGCGACTTTGAGCGTATCTATCTATCTATCTATCTATCTATCTATCTATCTATCTATCTATCTATCTATCTATCTATCTATCTATCTATCTATCTATCTAACTAGCCGCCTACGACTTTTAGCTCTCCTGGCCGTTTGGACAATGGTATTGATACCAAAATTGGTATAGCATAACATGACTGTAATGAGAGCATGAGCAACTAGTCATAACATGAAAATCTTGACATATATGTCATAAATGTCATGATTTACATGTCTCCGTCTTGCTACTCTTGGGGTGGTTTCATTCACATGATATGTTGAAAACTGGTATGGTATGACATGAATGCATGGCGAACACAAGCGACAGACCCTAACATCAAAATCATGACATACGTGTCATGTAACAACATGACTACATTCCACACTCACGATGTGCTCGTGGCCGTTTTGCTAGCTTTGCATATACCGAATTTGGTATTACGAAACGTGAATGGATGACTAAGGTATGTGACTGGTGCAAACATGATGATCATGAGATGCGTGTCATGTAACATCATCACTACATGCCATGCTCATGATGCGCTCACGGCCATTTCGCTAGGTTCTCATGAACCAAATTCGGTATTACAGGACGTGAATCGATGAAGAAGGTTTGTGACTGGTGCAAAAATGATAATCATGAGATGCGTGTTATGTGCTGTTTCGCTAGCTTCACATGTACCAAATTCGAAATCACGTGACGCGAACGGACGACATAGGTGAATGACACGTACAAACATAAAAACTATGACATGCGTGTCATGTAACAACATGACTACGTTCCAGACTTATCATGCTCTTGCGGCCGTTTCGCTACCTTCGCATATTGCAAAATTTGGTATTACGTCACGTGAATGGATGGCGAAAGTATGTGACTGGTGCAAAAATGATAATCATTAGATGCGTGTCATATACCAACAGTAATACAAGCCACACTAAAGGCACCAATACACTTCGACGTAAAGTGTATACACTTCGACGAGAAGTGTATACACTTCGGCACCAATACACTTCGGCACCAATACACTTCGACGTGAAGTGAAGCTCACGTCGCAATGCCACGCCAGGCGCCGAAATCCCTCTACCAGAGATCAGTGGATCTGCCCACTGACCTTAACTGTGGATCCGCATGCCATATACTCGCACAAGCCCGCCGCGGAGCGTTGCTTTGACGCATGCGCGTTTCAGCGCACACGGCGTCCCTCCGTCACGAAGAGAGGCAGACGTGGGGCTGCCCAAGTAACGTCATTGGCACGAAATGCAGCGTGTCGCATTTCGCGCCGGTTGCCACCGGGCCGCGCCGACGGATGCTGGTCGTGCCAGTCACGCCAGGCGTCACACTTTAGAGTGCTCACGTTTTGCTAGCGTGGCGTCGCTGCGCCCAGCCTGCGCGTGCGTCAACCTTGCGTCGGAGTATGTTGTGCCCTTCATGACGCGCTCGCCGCCGTTGCGCTAGCTCCACATGTACCACATTTGGTGTCACGAAAAGTTAATAGACGACGAAGGTAAATGACACGTCCAAACCTTATAATCATAAAATGCGTTTCATGTGAAACATGACTACATGCTACGCTCATAGCGTTTTCGTGGCCTTTTCACTCGTTCCAAATACAGTAAAATTGGCATTACGTGACGTGAATGGACGATGAATGTAAATGACACGTCCAAATAAGATAATTATGATATGAATTTCGCGTAAGACATGATTACATACTACGCTCATTGCATGCTCGTGGCTGTTTCGCTAGCTCCATATATACCAAAGTTGGTATCAGGTGAGGCTAATAGATCCCTATAGCAAATAAAACGGCCAAACATAATAACCATGACATGTAAGTCATGTATGGCATAATTTACCTCCGCCTCTTAACGTTGTGCTGATTTTAAAATGACCTACCACTCTTCCTCATTCGTGCTTCGCATATTATCGATTCCCATTGTACTTGGATTCTACCAATTGTTTAACTCGAAAAGTATTCAAGTAACTGTCAGCTCAGGAGAAGAAACAGTAAAAAAAAAGTGAGAGTAGTTAGCCACACTAGGAAAAATGATTTACTTTTTTTCACATGGAAACAAGATAGGTGGATTAAAAGATTAAAGAGAAGTTGAAAGAGGAAGAAAGCCAAGATCTCCTAGGAGACAAGACAAGACAAGATGGCAGATTACACAGCACACACTCAGTCAGTCCCAGCTTGCTTCTTTAGCGTCGTACGGGACATCACAGTCACTTGTCCAAGTTTGTTTTGTTTAAAAAACGAAGTAGGGCTTTCGTCGCCTTCAGCTGACACGCTTCGTTCGAAGGCATGCGAAGGTTTTCAACAAATATTCGTTTTTTGTAAAGGTGCGCTAAAACGTGAACCGTGAGCTCTTTCGGCATATTGTATACTGAATAGTCACACAGATTGTGTCGAGTTCACAGATTGGCAGTGAGGCCTTCGTAAGTACGTTGAAAGACATCTAGTGCTACTTTCGCCAACCGTTTAATAGCGTGTAATATCCTTTTTTTTTTGTTCATTTGTCTAACCCCTTCACAGTGGTGTAGTGGCTAAAGTACTCGGCTGCTGACCTGCAGGCCGTGGGATCAAATCCCAGCTGTGGTGGGTGCAATTTTGATGGAGGCGAAAATACTGTTGACCCATGTGCTCAGATTTGAGTACACGTTGAAGAACCCCAGTTGGTCGCAATTTACAGATCCCTACACTACGACGTCTCTCATATTGATATAGTAGTTTCAGGAGTTTAAATCCCGCATGTCAATATCTTGTTCAGTCGCATGAAGAAGGCCACTGAAACCTAATAAAGTAGCTCGTGACTACATCTCTACTAGCTAGTGAAAGCAGCGTCCTGAAATAAGGGTGCTGCGAAGAACTGCTTTACGTGCTGTCCATTACCAGACAGCTTTCCAGAATGTAGCCAGGGCACAGGGCTATCGCCAAGAACACGCGTCGCAGCTTTCCAGGAATTCCTTCGGTTCGATTGTACGTCGCTATAGTTACCCTGATGCCACGGCCGACTGTTTGCACTGATAACGTGGTCTGGCCGCTGTTCTGATTACGGGCCGACCTTGGAAGACTAAAGGGACAAGATTACTCGGCCACGGAGTGGCCGAAGAAAAAATCGTGCATCAAAGCACTCTAACCATATTT